CAAAAAGACCGAGTGCCATCAGGAGGTTCACCAGTGGGGCCAGAACCCTAGAAGCCCTCCCACTGTTGCCCCCCCCCCCCAAGCACCAAGAATACAGTGCATCACTTGCCTCAGACTGAGAGTTCCTATCTATCACTTGTGGCTAACAGCCACTGATGGACCTCTGCTCCATATGTTTATCTAATTCCCTCTTGAAGCTGTCCATGCTTGTAGCCGCCACCACCTCCTCCTGGGGCAGTGAATTCCATGTGTTAATCACTCTTTGGGTGAAGTAGTACTTCCTTTTATCTGTTCTAACCCGACTGCTCAGCAATTTCATTGATTGCCCATGAGGGACACCTTGGAGGACTCCGGGTTCACCAGTAATACGGAACCAGACAAATGGTCCCCGAAGATGGGACTGTCATCTAGTCATTGTACATCAGTACCCGTTAGAGGAATCTCTCTAAGACCTATTCCCTTGCGCCGACTTAGGCTTGGATTCCTTCTATGGAAGGTCGGTTGATAATTGGACCTAGAAGTGGTCTGGTAGCGTTGTGTCTGAAACTCTGAGTCAGAATACCTGAAAGGTTTATCAAAGGAAGGCCTATAGAAAGGATGAGACCAATACCTGGATTTGGACTGGCCAGAGGAAGAGGCGGTTATACCAAACGATTTAGCCTGTAATTTATATTTTCAGATGCATTCCAAAACCTCATCTGTGTCTTCACTAAATAATTATTTACCCTCAAAGGGCAAGTCTTCCAACTTAGCTTTAGTACCGGGGGGGGGGGGGGGGGAGAAAGGGCCTTAACCAGGAGTGAAAGCACAGTATTAAGGCCGATCCCATGGCCCTGCCATGGCAATCCACATCATGGCGGCTGCCATCACCTGTTTCCCCAAACACATTCTCTCTTTAACAAGGGCTTTGGCCTGCTTGTCCTGGAGTAAGGCCTCTATATAGGGAACCAGCTTTTCCCAGAGTAAACGTTTGTAAAGGCCCATCACGGCAGAGAAATTAACTACCTGAAGGCCCATGGCCCTGGAAGAGTACAGTTTGCAACCCAATGCATCAAGTTTACGTCCCTCCTTATCATTGGGTGAAGTACGGGAACCATACCAGCTACGTGCCGGAATCACCTCAGAAATAAAGGAGTTTGGTTTAGGATGATGAAACAGAAATGGTCAGTACAACTCTGTATAGTCCATCAAGACGACTGGCTGAGGGGGCTGTGTAAGCAGGATGTGCCCACGCTGACAGTAAAACCTCCTGTAGACCCTGCAGAAGCAGGAGCACCACCAGGCCAGAGTCAGATGTGAATAAAGTTTGCATTAACGGGTCCTTTATCTTTGGCTCAAAGGCCATATGTTCCAAATCCAGAGCTTTCACCATCCAGATTATCTGATCAGAGAAAGATGTGAGGTCCTCTGATGGCGAGGTGGAGGGTTTCCCACCAATGACATCGTCCAGGGACAGTACCGATGGAAGTTCGGAACTGAGGTTCGAGGCTCTGTCCCCTTCAGAGATGGATCATCTCCTGGTGAACCTGGAGTCCTCCAAGGTGTCCCTCCGAGGGCCATGAGAATGACCACTAGGTGACCGGGTGGATCTGGAATGAACACGGTGAGAGCTAGGGTCATAAGATGAGTACCTGCAGGCACAGTGGTACCACAGAGGTGGCATGTCAAAAGCATCAGGTAGTGTCTCTGGGCTTGGCGGATTCACCAAGACCACATCAGATTATGGGGACCCTCGACGACGGGAGGATCATACAGAGTGCGGAGAATCGCCGCTGAACATCGGTACTGAAGGAGATAGGTGCTGGGGAGATCTCGATGCTGAACGGTGGCGAGGCGGAGAACGGCCCCTCGATGTCGGTGGATTGTTGGTACCGGCAGGAGCACGGTGGCGAGGTGAAGGAGATTGTTGGCGTTGAGCCGATGTCAACCCTAATTGGTCTCATCCTGGGGCACTGGAGACAGTGGTGAGCACTGTTCGTGAGCGCGTTTTTTCTTCTTGGCTTTTTTGGCAGGTGGCTCGGACTCTGCCCTCGTGGCAGTCACAGCAGAAGGGGACTGGACCGGGGTGGGGGCTGAGCTTACTGATGGTGCCCGTGGCTGTTTTTCAGTCATTATGGGCCTTCTCCCATAATGCAGCCTTGAGGTCGGCTGCCCTGCCTTCGCGGGCTTGTGGAGTTAAAGCCTTACAGGCCTTACAAGTAGATGTATTGTGGGCTTCTCTGAGGCACAGAAGACAAGATGAGTGATCATCCAACTGAGCCATCTTCACCCCACAACCAACCCATTTTTTAAATAACGCCACTTTTTGTCGGTCTGAGGCCATAACTTTACCTCAGAACGAAACAAGTCCTCTCACAGTGGCGGCAAAAAACAACTGAGGGGAGAATACTGGCTCCTTCCAGGTCACGTGACTTGTAGGCGGGAAGTTGCGATCCCTGATAGGAGCCAAGCACTCATGGGTAGATTTTTAACTTTATTGAGCTTGCTAGTTCCTCCTGGTGGCTGGCCTGTGGTATCACAGTCCAATGTGTGCCTGCACAGAAGCCACGAAGGTGAACCAATAGTTTTAACTAATTGGTAAAATGATAAATGTTTAATAATAATTTTTTAAATAAATTCAAAAGAGAAGGCACAAATGTAAACTATTTTCTACATCTAAAGTGCCCCCTCAGCAATCTAACCTGAACAGCATGAGATTATTGTGGTAGGAACAGTACTCTGCAGCACACTGAATTATGGATTGAGCAAATCTATCCGTATGGAGACAATGAGCAGATGGTCCAGCTTTTCAAAGGATTTGATTGGCTTTTGGATTCTTGTAATTCCAGTTCTATTACACTTGGAATTCTGATTATTCTGATTCCACAGGTAACTATATAGAATGAGTTACAGTTGAAGTGAGACCACTCTAAACAGCTTTGCTGTTTTCCACTTCATTCTGCAGGCCCCTGCACTCCCCGCCAAAAACTGCTCCTGAAGACAGAGGAACCTTGGGAACAATGTAGGTGTCTTCCCTTTTTCCTGATCAGAGCTCTACTTGCTGTAGCCTAGACTCAACCCAATGGCTTGTCAATAGCCTCTACAAATTTATGACTGTACACTATATGCACTGCAACCTCTTGGTTCAATTCTGCTCCTTTAAAAGCTGAAATTACAAACTTACACGAGTGACATCATTTGCAGTAACACCATCTTTCATGTAGAACTGGTCCATAACTACTGGGTCAAGCTCGCTCATCAGAATTTCCAGTGTTTGATCTGGCTGACTGATTACTCGACTCTCTGGAAAATCCAGGGTGTACAAGTACCTGTTTTAAATAAATACTATAATTATTCAGAAGTACTTTAAGTCAACAATTCAAATGTATAGTTCTTTTTACCATTTTATACTGACTTTCATTATATGCTTACAAGGTAGAAATTTATTCTAGATATTTTAGAAAGAGAAGTAGAAGTAAATTTACCAGCAGTCAGAATTCATACGGCCCATGCAATAAGCTGCTCCATCTGTGAAAGACAAGAGACTAGTGGTAGATCACAGAACTACCATCTTTCTGTCTGAAAGATTTAGTACTGCTTATTACCTAACCTATTATACAGCTCACATCCCATCCTGTAATAAGTATAGGGAAATGAGGCTTCTTGCAGCAGTAAGAGCCACTATGGTTTGAGGTGCCTTACATGCATGCCTCCCAGCTCTGGCTGTTCACAATAACAGGATTTCTTGCAGAAAAAAATAATCCGCACATCACTTACTGTAGCCAAATTGTGCTACACATATTACACATTTCTTACCTCCACTATATTTACATCCTGCAACCCTGCTCCCATCAGGCTCATCTAATAGGAATAAACATTAAAACAACTCAAAACCTTTTGCAAAATATAGTCCTGTGTGTGTACACACATGCACATCAATGTTCCCTCTAAGCTGTGGAGTCTTGTGAGCAAAAATTCTACTTTCTGACCTGCTGGCATTAAAGTTGTGAACAAACGATTTGGCTACTGCATAAATTAGTTTGCTCTGGGGCCATTCTTCCTGAGCTAAGACAAGAATCTGTGAGCTGGAGGATAAAAACCTGTGAGCTAGCTCACACTAACTCAGCTTAGAGGGAACACTGATGCACATCACATATTTTCTTACTGTAAATGGATGCAAAATTCTATATTAGGACAGATTATAAATTTCACCTTAATTTCTGTAGAGAACCTTGAAATGGAATCACATCTTCACTTTGCCACTGTCATTCTTGCAGTGCCATCTCCAAGTGTACGGGCAGTTTTAGCCAATTCCAACTATTATATAATCCCTATAATCAAGGTCTGGTCTACTGAAGGCAACTACTATAGGTGGCTTTTAAATGGGATTAGCAAAATTCATGGAAGATAAATCCACAATTGCTCTTAACCGTGTTATCCAAATGGAATATTAACTACAGAGGCAATATCTCTTAATAATAGTTGCTAGGGGCCAAGGAGGTTTGGCCTTTGCTTATTGGCCTTTGCTTATTGGCCTTCTGGGATATCTGGTTGGCTGCTATAGGAAAAGGGATTCTGGACTAAAGAATCTTCTGGTATCATGGTAACAGTGCAGTAATAGCCTATATGTTACCTCTTCTGCTGTGGCTTGCATAAACTTCTTGAATTATTTGAAATTTTAATTTACGGGCTCTATCAAAACCCATTAATCAGTAAGAAATGCTAACTTACTTGGAAATATTTCATTAAGGAACTCTACTTCTTCCTGGAAATTCCTGTGTGGGTACTCTTGGTGGGAAGGCTTCATAAAATTCTTACGTGAATAGAAGAAGCTCTGAAGGATGAGAAAGTTCAAATGAGATATGCAGCTTTCCTAAATGGTCTCACATAACATGACAGGGTTTTTTTGGGGGGTGGGGGAAGCACCGAGGAGAGAGAAGAGTGATCCTGTCTACCTGTTCATATAGTTTACAGAATTATTCTCCTGTACACTGCTATCATCAGTACACTCTGGAGACATCCTGGTTTTCCTAATTTGATACTAGATTAACTACCATATCACTAGGCAGCTTTGAAATACTAAGTTTATTCAGACTGATATTTGTACAAAATGTGACTTATATCCAAGGACACATAAGAGTATTTGTTACCTCTGAACATGGATTTAGTTGCACATAAATAGCATGTCATAACGACACGTCATGAGTGTTTTAGTTTAATAGTATATTTCTGGGCAGGGGGATAGATATTAACTTGTCCAGAGGGGAGGGAGACAATACATGTCAAGTCACTCAAGGGAAGTGCTCCCAGATTCCTTCTCCATCTAGTGCACATTCTTCCACCGTAATGCAAGGTATGATGCCAGGCACAGACAGGGGATGGCATCACATCAATAACAACAAGTATCTAAGATGTTTTCACTGCAGAGCAGATTCTCTTCCTCTATCTCCACCCTACTATCCTCATCCAGGCCCACCACTGTGATGCGTTACTTAAGACAGGCACCTTTTTTCCCTTTAAAGGGTAAGTCTGGGCACTTTTCAGTTCAAAGCTCCCTACACCGCTGTAACTAAAGTTTTTAGTTTAGTATGTTATCAAGCTGCCTTCACATCTATCTGTCAACATGGCCAGTTTTTGCTGTACTTTGTGGGCAGCTGGCATCCCACCATTCCTCAAAGGCTGTAGTAGTAGTAATGTATCGCATTATGGCAGCAGCTGGTCAGATGCTTCCACCATACCCTCCAAGTACTCTGAAGTTGCAATAGCTGGAAAAACCAAACTCTTACATTCTGTCCTCATGAGACAGACCATGGCTTGGATTCTGCTAATTAATTGTATCAACAGTGGTGCAAGCAGTCTTCTTTAACACAAGAGGCTCTTTAAGGTGGTACAAGCAAGAGGGGGAGAAGTGTCACTGGTTACCAGATCAACACAAGTAATATTAACATGTCCAAGACACTTAGACAACCTCGGTCCATGCAGTAATTAGCCATTGGGTGGGGAGGTGGGGAGAAGAGGAAAGTAATTGATAGCTACTTGCAAGAATCTTCTTAGCTCTCAGACAGCAGCTGAAACATTAACTAGCTTGGAAAAAGATGGGTTGTACTCCTGAACTTTTCAGTCAATGTATTAGTATGGAGAATGCTACCAGGATCTTACACAAGAACTACATTAGGAAAGTTAATTTCTAATGGAGGAGAGGAGAACAATATAAGCTGCTTTGAGTCCCCTTTGGGAAGAAAGGTGGGATACAAATGAATGAAATAATGGAATAATCTGGAAAGGCATTTAATCATAGGAAGATAACTTCAATTCAATTTTAATATTTAGGCAGCTATTCCTCAAATAAGCAGACAACTGTAGCTATACAGCCAACATATGACTGTTGTGATAAAGGTGCTAGTTGCAGAAATTCATATATAACACAACACACATGAGAGTTCGGTATCTTACCTGAATAGAGTCAAACCCACAGTATTCTCTAGCAAGCTCTAACAGGGGAACCAGTGCCTGCAGTAAGAGGGTGGTACCACATGTCTTCAAAATGAAACGTCTCTTGGAGACAAACATGCTACTCTCACTGAAAAACAAATTATGTAAAAACATTAACACTGATTACCTAGTTGGCTTTAGGAGACTCAAATTTCTTTTCTGCCAAATATTACCACATTCAAATGAGAGAAAAACATAAATTTAAACAATCAGGAAAAATGGGCTCCCAAATTAAACAGTAAATGAGGCCATAATTTGGCTGCAGAGGTTGTATGTGGAGAAGCCATTTACTCTCATCATTTTGAGGCTTAAGCACAGTCTCAAGCTAATTCTGCCTTCTTCAAAGCTCAACAGGATAGCATGAGAAACCCTTGCTTCTCTCTTGGCTGCAGAGAGTGAAGGAATCACATGTGGTCCCAAACAAAGAGAGCTGATGAGGCCTTGAAATAACATCTAGATTGTTTCAGTAGCAACTAAGCTTGCAGATAATGTCTGAGGCTGTACTCAGAAATCCTACCAATCTCAGCGTAATTGCAGCTTTGGCACAAACACACTTGGTTTTTGTGCTCATACTCTCCTTGCCAGGAAAGTGGAAGCCTTCCAGACCTGCTCAGGCAAACCATTCCACAAGGTGGGGGCCACAACAGAGAAGGCACACATACAAGTAGTTGTTGATTTTTCCCATTTGCAGGTTGATAACTGCAGAAGGCCCTGCTCTGAGAAGCAAAGCTGTTGTTGCAGAACGGAGGGGGGAGAGGCGGTCTCACAAATATGAGGATCCAAGGCCATGAAATGCTTTGTACATGATAGACAATACGTTAAATTGAGCCTGGTAACTGTTGGGCAACCAGTGGACTAACTGCAGCAGGGGAATAATATGCATGCTCTGTCTAGCTCCCAACAATAGCTGGACTGCAGCATTCTGCACCAACTGAAGTTTTCAAACTGATTTTGAGGGGAAACCAATCTACAGTGCATTATAGTAGTCTAGTCTTGATGTTGCTGTGCCGCCAATCCAGGTGTCCAGATCAGCCATATCAATGTAAAGGGCCATCTTACAGGCTAAACTGAGTTGGAAGACACACACACACATACGTGTGTGTGTGGAGGGAGAGAGAGAGAGCTGGGCATCATCTGTATATTGATGAAAACCATACCAAAAGCCTAAGATCTTTACACAGAGATTGAGAAGCATGGCTGAACTTGGTTAGATTACTATTTATTGGCCTATCCTACCTCACAGGATTATACTATAATGATGTGCTGAGCACTATGTATTCAGAGCAGAATGCAAATATAATAAAATCAAGTACTTCATAGCTCTCACTTCTATGTTTTGCACTTGCATCCTGTACTGAAGGGGGTTCCAGAAGATAGATCAACGGACCATGGGTACCAGTTGCTGGCAGAATATCAAGGTTTGAAGTTAGCATATACAGGCCTCCCTCGTCTCTCAATAGTAGGCCTCCCTCGTCTCTCTCCCCCTCCCCTCCTAAGCGAGCCATCGAGCCTCGCTCATCTCTTCCCCCCCTCCTCCCCCTCCCCTCCGAAGCGAGGCTCGGCAGCTTGTAGCCGCCCGGGCCTTGCTGGGCTCCAGCTGGCTGGCTGGCTGGCCGGGCAGGCCCCCCGCCTCGAAACGGGGCTTGTAGCTGCCCGGGCCTCGCTGGGCTCCGGCTGGCTGCCTGGCCGGCCAGACCGCCGGCTCTGAAGCGGCGGTGGCGAGGCCGGCAGCAGAGCGTTCTGTGCGCGTGCGCACGGAACGCTCTTGCACTTTCGGGGGGATTTAAACATCCTCCCCAAATTTTTTTTCAACTTTTTGTATTTTTGTGCACACGTGGGGACTGGCCCACGTGTGCACAAACCTCCCCCGGCCCCCCAGCTGCCCCCTCCGTGCTGTTTTAAGTATCCGCACGGAGGGGGCAACTTGGCTATTAGATATATAGATGTGTTAATCATGGGCTACCTGGGACATGGAAATTTAGTTATATCTTCCACCATTCACAAGATGCCATGAGAAGTTCCAATGGAAGCAAGCTTTTAGTAACTGACCCTACAGACACACAGGTGCATGAAGATTGGGGCAAGGCAGAGGTGCTAAAATTGCAACATTTTAAATTTGATGCACAGAGCATTCTATACTGTCATGGATACTGCCAGACATATAGGGAAACTGCAACTACTGGTCATGACCAAAAAGGATGTTGTGGCACACATAAACAGAATAAACCTCCCAGGGAAACATGCCAAGAAGGGAGTCTAGGGACCCAGAATAGAATAGCTTTGAAGATTAGTAAAAAGAACACAATGTAGTAACAATTATATGGCCTTGCATAGATTAGAAACTGTCTAACCCATTATTAATAGATACAATTTGTTGAAGCCCAGGTGTAGAAGTGTGAGAATTCCAAGAATGTTCAGCTTCACAGAATTGAAGATATGATTGAAGGACAGGAGTATGGATGGATGGCCAAAAGATATTCATTTGTATGAGAAACATAATCATTATTTTTAAACACTTTGTTAAGGCAAAAAGTAGCAAGAATGAACTAACATTCTGTATATATTCTAATAAGTTACTTTAAGTAAAGATAATCTTGTATGGTGTTTGAAGGTTTCAGGTAAGTTATAAAATAATGAGAAAGAATGTATGCCCTTATTGAGGCAGAAAGCGGTATTAATTGAGAGCTTCTTCTTACAAGGGGTTCCTGCTTACTTTTGGGGTAAGAAACTCTTACAGACTCATGTAATTGATTTACTTTCATTATCTATATAACAATGATGGATGGTATAATTTTTTGTGGTTTCAGTCTATATGAAGAAGGCAATAATAATTATGCTTTAATAAACAAGCTTAGAATGGAAGCAGAAACTTTACCCAAACCAAACCTATAGCATTACTGAGGTATATCTCTGGCTAGGAGTTAAATAATCTGGTATAGGACAGCTCACTAAATGCCTAGGGTTTCTTAAGTGAACACCTATACCTGAATCAGGCCTGACTAGAGTCATCCAGAACAACAGATTTCTAATTCGGGTGGGTAGCCATGTTGGTCTGAAGCAGCAAAACAGAGTCGGAGTCCAGTGGCACCTTTAAGACCAACAAAGTTTTATTCAAAGTGTAAGCTTTCAAGTGCAAAGCACATTTCTTTGTACAAAGAACACTTTGCACACGAAAGCTTACACTTTTAATAAAACTTTGCTGACCTTAAAGGTGCCACTGGATGCAAACTTTGTTCAACAGATTTCTAAAACAGCCTTTTTATACTTGCCACTTCAACAATGAGTTTTTCATTTATTGCTACAGCACAGTGAGCTCCATGATCTTTACTAGGCAGTTAGTTTAGAGCCATTCAGATGCAAAGATGTGATTTTGTCCCTCTTTATATTATAACTTAAAGCTCTATTTTGACCATAAGTAATTTTTTTACCTGAGTACATAAGCTTCCTGCTTGTCAGTTTTTGTCACACTAATGATCAAACAATGCACATTCTCCAAAAGTTTGTCCCATTCAAACCTGTTAGAAAAAGAGTTTAGCATTAGCTCTTTTGCAATCAATTACAGTATATCCAACAGTAAAGCAAGTCACTATTATTTCGGAAATGAAATCATAAAAGTTAACAGCCAAGTTCAAAGTTGCAATATCCATATATAAGTTTCTCTTCCTACTTAACAGAACTGGCTTACCTGCTCAAGGCTTGAGCAAAGCTCTCCTGTTTGTCTCCCAAGGAAGCAAAAAAATTAATTGTTCCATTTCTACCCAATCCCACCGCAAACTCTCTCAACTACATCCTGCATCACTCCTGAAGACCACCAAACTCCAAAAATAACTTTAAGGAAACACAAGGAGCTGCAACAGCAAAAGAACCTTTACTCAAGGTTATTTGCATATACCCCATAAAGAAGTAATGCAATTAGTAGCTTCATCTTGGCTTACTTAAATCTACTTAATGAATTTTTCAGATTCTCTCTTCAGTAGAAATAAGTTAAACAACTGCAGGTATATCTCACTGCTAAGACTCACCGCTTGTTTTTGTGAGTTATCTTGGGCAGTCAAACTATTGAACATCCAACATCAGCACTACTTAAAGAGCCATCTAATGCTTTTGGAGTTCATACTGTCACTGAGAGAAGAGGAAAAGTTGAAAGATTTGCACAACAGCATGTTTCCAGCCAACCTGCCCTATGATACTATATAACACAGATGGAGGTTTCAAAGCTTTATAGGCCCAGTCACTTTTCATGATACCATGGCCAAGATACCACAGGCAAGGACACTTCAACAACAGACTTAGGCTTAGATCCAGCAGTGCACAAACAGAAACATAAATGGGGTTTTCTTGCATTTCCACTTTTACAAGAGCTCTAGTACAACCAGGGATTTTGCACTGGATCGAATCCTAAACGTGTATCACCCACTTCTTTTATTCGAGATTAACTTGAAATCCTGATTTGTTAGTTCACTGATATTTTAAAAATGAGACCAATGCTTAAGTAAATGCAGACTTTATGCAGATAAATTGCATCTTACTAGCTGTATGAACTGAGGACAGGTAGACAGATTGGGAATTGTGATGCTGCAGCAACTAGGACACTGTGCTGAGCATTATTATTTAGACATAGGCAATTAAATCATAGGATATCAGCATTTTTATTATGAGCTAAAATGAGCTTCACTGTATTACAGACAATCACACAGTACTGAAAAAGCAGAATAGATCTTTAGACCTCATATTTAGAAGCAGTTTACATATCTGAGTTATGTTCCCAATATTCTTTTATTAGATACTTCTATCCAATTCAGACAAATATATTTTTTATTCCTGACGCGTATTCTAAATGCAGCAATGAGACACCTATGAATGTGTGATTTTGTAGACTCCCCTTCTTGTGACAGTCCCCTGTGCGGTAGGAGGCTGCAAGGCAAGATGGAAGAAATCATTGTGTGAATTAGTTAGATTCAGAGTTCACTGGATCCACCTTGTGTTTTAGACCAGAGCTGTAAAGGGATTTGCTTTTTCCCCAAGCTACTGCCACAACTACTTCTCTATGAACTAGATTCCCAGCTAAACAGAAACTGTAATCCATACCAAAAACAGATTCATAACATTCATTTTAGAAATTAAGCTAATTTAGAGTTCTCTGTAAGGCACAAAATTATCATTCAGACAAAGAGAGATGTGCATGTCCCAATTCACATCGGATGTACTTAAACTGACAGACTGGCTTCTGGTCTGTGCACTGTGAAGATAGCAAGGCGAAGCGTTGATTTTCCAGGAGTTCCAGGAGATATAAAATACCCCCAATCATTCCATGTGGATCTGCGTGGAAGACACCCATCTTATAAAAGTTATGACAGGTTGGCCCCCTCTCTCCTGAATGACTCTAAAGGGAGGATAGACTGTGCTGGAAGAAAGCATTCTTCCCTCTTCTGGCCTGTCCACAGCTCTTATCCAGCCCATGAGCAACTGTTGCGAGGGAGGGAAGGCATGCGGCCGCTGGGTGTGTGTGTGTGTGTGAGTGGGTGCAGGACTATGAGGCTGAAGTACAATAGTGTGGGGGGAACAGCAGTGAAGGTGGAGAAAGGGATGAAAGGATGGGGCCGGAAGGGGAGAAAGGAGGAGGAGGAGGGCCAGCATGTGGATTGCTAAGCAACTGGGCTGTCTTGTGCATGCCACTCTGAGGGCAAAGACTGAGGGCAAAGGCCTTGGAAGTGAGTGGAGCAGTAAAGGGGGAAAAGGGTGCCTGTCTCCACTGCATGTCTGAACAGAATGAGTGTCAGGGTGACCTCCCTTCTCCCCAACACCTGTTCTCAGCCCATGAAGGGAAAGGGGTCACAGGAGGACACAAACCACCCCTTGGAGGTGTTGGAAACAGCCTCTCCATCAGGCCTTCCCCTCACCCCTGCTGTTTCAGTGGGAAATGCAGGATGGGATCTGGGAGAGCCAGGACCCTGTCTTCTGGGTCACCTGTAGCCTGTCACTCAGCCTGGACCACGTCACAGGGTTGGTGGTGGGAATGGGGAAGTCTGGTGTGCCTCCTTGAGATCCTCAAATGTAGGATGGGGAAGAACCGAAATGAAGAGTGAGATGGATCATAGCTGTGCTCAGCTGCTGAGTCTGGGTGTACGGAGAGGGGGGAGTACTGAAAAAACTACCTTATCTACTTGCAAGGAATATGACTTGCCTCCTAAAAGTGCTACATATACAAAAAGTAACTGACTTATACGGAAATATAAGATACTCCCCCTTTTATGGTATCCCTTGGGGGAAAACCTAGTCTTGCATATGATTAAATACACTTATTGGGGCTTTTGTGGATACCCCAGTAAATCAATGGCTTTCACTCCTAGGAATTAATTGCATTTGTTTGTACCATGAGCAGGGCTATTTTGGGGCAGGAACGCACAGGAACGGAGTTCCGGCTGGCTCCCAAGTTGGCCACACCCACCAGGAATGCATTAGCATAATAGGCCACACCCAACAGCAGAAACTCATTAGAATTGGTTACATTAGGGGTGTGTGGCCTAACATGCAAAGAGTTCCTGCTACAAAAAAAGCCCTGGGTTTTGACCACAAACAAGGTAAACAGAATAAGAAGCAAAAGGTGGGTGTGGCTGGATGACCACACTTCTGGTAACATGGGAATGCAGCTTAATATGCTAATGAGCGGTGCAGTCAGGGGTGTGGCCTAATATGCTAATGAGTTTCTGCTTCTGGGTGTGGCCTATTATGCTAATGAGTTCCTGCTGGACTTTGTCTACAAAAAAAGCCCTGATCATGAGTAATAATACCATTAATTGGGTTTGCCTGTGTCATTTATAAAATTTCTCTCTCTGGCAGCTGGCATTACATTTTATGCCACACATGGCCTGGCCCGACAAAGTGACATTTATGTCAGATCTGGCCCCTGAGTTCAACACTTCTGCTCTACACATCCTGCAGAATGGAAAAAAGAACACAGCCATATTTGCCACCAACTAAGAAGACTGGACAGCTTCACTCTACCAGACCACAAGAGTATATTGTACAAAGGTCCTGAGTTCCATGTGAGTTCTTCCTGATACACCCTGCTCTGGTCTCAGGAAGTTTGCTTAAGCAAAACTGCAATTCTCAGGGACCTTCAACTATCGATTTGCATTAGCCAAAGTTTTTGCTCACTAACAACTCTGCTCCTATCTTGAGTGGGAAGGACTGGACCTTGTCTGCAATACCATCCTGAGCTTTAGAGGCCCTCTAAGTTCCAGTGCAGCTATGGAGATTCTTCCCTAAGCTCAGGTTTTTTTGTGTGTGCACGCGCACACAGTTATCATGCCAAGCCTCAAATACACTCAAAAAGCAGCAAGACAGCTCACTGCTCTCAAAACTTTGCCAAAGCTCAAAATACTGTAAGGGAGAAGCGACACAATCTCCTGTACAGAAAGGTGGATGTTCATGCTAGATTTATGGAGCCTTGACCAAGCTTTTGAAAATAAAAGTTCATATCTACCTAACTGAAGCATCACGAGGTAACAGCAGAGGCAGCAGTAACCAAAGAACCATTGACCATTTTCTGCTCTTCTGTTTTTTACCTTGGCTACCTTATATTTGCACATGTTCATAATGGAGGCATGGCTGAACACATACTAGGGCTAATAAGCATTTATTACATTGCCCAATCACCATATTTATTGTACAGCAAGGCTACCTACATACCAGCATTCCACACTCTCATTTACGTAATCTAGGATGAACACAATTGACTATTTAGCAAGGTCTATATCCATTCAATACACCAGTTCTCTGCAGCATCTTGTCAAATGAACAAAAGAACTCCAGAGGAAGAATGGCTATGCATGGGTTCTACAATCATTAGAGCTCCTTATGCACTCAACTTTCTGTGGTGCACCTACTCCAATTGTGAAATGAATACAGGTAGTATACCAGACATAATTATTTTTTGGGCTAGGAAGTTAATGTCATTATGAAAGCAAAGGAATCAACTAGCTAACAACTGCTACTGTATATCACATCAACCTCTTATCATTTTTTTCAAAATTATCAGAGCAGGGGTCAAAAATAAAGCTGACAACATTGCACTATGTGAGATTTTTGTTTGTCTGTGCAGACTGAGATGCCAGCTTTTACGGTTCTTCAAACCTCTAACATATCTGGAGTCCCTTTCTCTTAGAAAAAAGTAATAGACCTTATTTTAAATTTTAAGTAGCAATCCAAAGTCTTAGCTATTTATTAGTAATAATGCATTTTGTGAAGTTTCATAAGAACATAAGAACATAAGAGATGCCAATGTTGGATCAGGCCAAAGGCCCATCCAGTCCAACACTCTGTGTCACACAGTGGCCAGAAATACCAGTGCCATCAGGAGGTCCACCAGTGGGGCCAGGACATTAGAAGCCCTCCCACTGTTGCCCCCCCCCCCCAGCACCAAGAAGACAGAGCATCACTTGCCCCAGAGTCCCTATCTATACCTTGTGGCTAATAGCCACTGATGGACCTCTGCTCCATATGCTTATCTAAT